CATATTGAGATTCTGAATAGGCCCTCTCCTAGAGGAGATAAAGTGGCAATGTTATTGTGCAATTCATTTTAAAATCCCACTACAAGTAAAGTCAGAAAAAATTAAAACGATTTTCGGAAAATTGGGTTTTTCCGTCTCTCTCCGGAAATACTTTATCTTTCTAAGTAGCATTTTGATAGTTACCTGGTATACAGAGTGTCAACATCAAGAAAGTCTAAATCAAAGAATATGCTTCCTATGGAAGACATTTCTTGCACAAAGTTGTGAGGTTTAAAAGGTGTTATCTAAAAGTAGAATTGAATGTGACCTTAAAGTCCAGACGCTTTTCTTGAATGGAAACTTTTTAAGTAATCATGTCCAAGACCTGGAGCTTGAACTTCAAAGTCATTTAACTGTATCCAAAAGGTACGGGTGGCACATATATCTTAAGAAGCATGTTTCCTACTGAGATACCTCTATAAATGTAAATGGAGGGAACTGTTTGGTCAAGCATGTCCATGACCTGGATCACGAATTTCAAAGTCATCAAGGGATGTCCAAAAGGTACGGAAATCACACAGTATCTTAGAAACATATTTTCTACAGAGAAACCTTGGAGAACAAAATAGGTTCATTCAGTGACATTGAACTCAATCTTGACCCTGACCTTCAAGGTGATTTGAAGGCCGAGAAAGCCTTCTGTATCGGAGACCTCTATTTTTAGCTCTGGAAATATAAAGGACCGAAGACATTTGTTCATGACATGGAACATGAGCTTCACCTGGTAATTTCTTTGGTGCCCAAATAGTATAGGAAGTACAAAGTATATCGAGAAATATGTTTCCTAGAAAAAAATGTTGCAATGGCAGTTAGTATTGTTTGAAAAGGCGGACATTTTTATGTCCAATTATGTCCTTGTTCATGACCTTCACCACAAATAGCTCAAATCAATTTATGACATAATACCGATACCTTTGATTCTGGGAATTTGTAATACGAAAAACTCTGTGTCCAAGCTTTTTTTACTATGACCTTGACTACGAATTTCGAGGTGATTTGAAGATGAAATAAGTTTTTGCAGCATTTTCCTCTGGGAAACGTGTTTTTCAAAATAATTCTTCCTATCCTGAGTATCTGCTCACCAAAAATGATCTTATGTGTCACCATAAAAGTTATGGGCAAAGAAGTTAGCCAAAAGTAAATTGCTCTGCTGTTTTTCATCTCAAAATGGCCTTCAAGGACACAATCAATGTCACGTTAAAAGTCAGCATTCTATGACTGTTTCTAACCTTTCCAAATTTGTTTCAGAACCATTTTCTCTAGATAACATACTTTTCGAAGTACTTTGATATTACCATGTTTTCTGGCCACTCTGTATAGCCCGTTATTATCTGCAGTTTTAGTGAACGTGAGCTGTCAGGATGATCTGCATAATAAGGTGTTATGCGCTGCGCAATCCTCTCATATTGTCGCAAGTTGCGCTGCTGTCTACGCATTAGATATGCTGTAATTTTGTAATGCATCTTGCAGGAAGGGGGGTTGACAAGGCCTACTGCCTCGAAGGGACGAAAATTAAATGGAACACAGCCTGGGTGATTGTTATTGCTTATGTTTCTTTAGGCGAGGCAGAGGTGAGAGGTGATGCAGTCGACGGGGTGAGAACATGACATTTCAACAGCGATTGGGATCAAGGGTAATAATTGCTTAGAACCAATAGTTAACATATCACAATAATGATACCCAGCGAAAGAACAATGTTCGTGGAATAATTTCGTTAATTGAGATACCTTTATTGCAGGAACCTTTAGAAAAAAAGTTTGACTGGAATCTTGTCATTCAAATGTAAGGTTAATTTGGACACATTGCCGCACGCTGTTGGTCATGCTCGATTTTTCCAAGGCTTTTGATACGGTCAATCATGATATCCTTTCGAGAAAGCTACAATATCTTAGCATGTCAGAAGTTCCTTTGAATTTCTTCAAATCCTACCTAACCGATCGCACTCAAAATGTGAAAACATCTAGGCTAACTTCTGATGCACGGTATGTTTCATCAGAAGCTCCACAGGGTTCAGTATTGGGACCTATTTTATTCTTAGTATACACTTTTGATCTGCGTGAGCGTGTAGAACATTGTTACATTCAAATGTATGCTGACGATACCCAACTACAATTTCGTTAAGCAAAACAAGATGTCCATTCAACCAGATCCAGAACATGCACACAACGTATAGAGTCTATGTCTAAACGATAACCCGTATTCCACCAGAGATCTGACATTTACCAAGAGAACAACGTGTAAGGTTTATGAATTTGATAACACTCGCTGAGCGAAGGGGACCTGGTCGAAACGTTCAAGATTACCAGTGGCTGCTACCAGCGCTGCTACTCATGAACCATTCAAATCTTCAGTATGAGACAGAGAACACCTAAGTTTATAAGGAAAAACATTTATTACCAATCGTGTGGCTCACTTGTGCAGCTCTATTAGTGAAGAAACAATGAGTGCAACAATTGTCAATTCGTCCAAGAATAGGTTGCAGAAGACACAGCAGCACACGTTTTCTGCATGATTTAGTGTGAAAAATAGCCTCCACACAACAAGTGCCATTGAGCTTTTCGGCCTACTGTTGTAGAGAATAACAAGTTTCGTACTTCACTATTGGCGGAAGATGGAAACCCTTGCAAAGAAAATGAATTGTTGATCGACATTTTATTTAGAATAATGAGCTCAGACTATACATGTTGCAAAATAACTGTGCGCCACTGTGCTCACAATAAAAACAAATGTTGGAACGAATAAATGCCCAATTTTAATGAGACCTAATCTTTTGTTTTTATTGTGAGTGCAACGAGCAATTGTATCACCCGACTTTTGCGCCCACTGTTGTAGAACTAATAATAAAAATAATAATTTTCCTACGTTCTGGTATCTTCACTATTGGCGGGACATGGAAACTCTTGCTACTCGTGATGTTATGGAAAGCAAATAACTGAATTGTTCATAATTTTTTTAGAATTAATAATAAATAATAATAAAAACATATGTTCAAACGAATAAATGAAGAAAGAAATTCACAATTTTAATGAGAACTCGACTATTGTCTTTATTGTGAGCCCAACGAGCAACATTTTTATTTCCATGTATGTTTTGAGTCTCAGTGTATTTTATTATACTAGTAGATGCGAAGTAAGAAGTGTCGGTACCATGTGCTCATATAAAGATAACAATCTATATCAGAAAATCGGCTAATTTTGCACAACCATGCCAAAATTAGCAACTTTTGGATTTCAAAGAACAATCAAAAAGTAAAGAAGGAACAAATTGATGAAAATATGTGTGTGTGAATATTTTATTTGTTCTGAAATATTTGAACGCAAACATTTCAGAGATTTGTCAGGTTGGAATTACATTCAGATCCGCAAAACCCTCTCAGGGGCTACGCACCCATTCTACGTAGCTTGATTAGTGACCCTATTTAAATTTTTTGATGGCATAATGCAGGCTTTTCCCGAAAAATGTTGGCCTTGGAACTAGCAGTTATTGAACTTCCTGTTCACATGTACTAACTGTTCGTGTTGCCTAAACACCATGACACTTGAGACGGTTTGTTTCAGAGATGACACTAGCGGATGCCATTCATGGCCTAACTGTAAATTCTATAATTAAGGTCGTTGTGCCATTCCCTCAAAGGTGGCGTTCCTAGCGGTGCATGTGGCGTGGACTAGAGACTAGCTAGTACACAAGTTGACCTTATACTGATTGTTAATGAAATTATATCAATTTTTCACGTAAAATACGCTTCTCGATCCTCTCGCAACGCTCCTGTCAATCGTTTTGACAAGCTGCTGATAGCGCTCTACTCAGACATAGATACTTTGTTTAAGAGGATTTAAGTTAACTAATATTTGCCTCTGGAGGTCAACACGCCTCACATAGTTTATGCTCATATCGTAAACAATTCCATTAGTTTTATGACGGAAAAATTAATATTTGTATTAGTAGCTTCAAAGACCCATTTTTCTTCTTCAGCCTCCTCGATACTCAAGGTAAGCCGTTTAGCTACAGCCTGTCGAATATGTAATCTGTTGTTTCCGAACTTTTAATAGGAAAGTGAAACTTTGTACTCTTGTTGGCCGTTGTTTTTAATCAAACTTCAACAGATTAAGGTTCGATTAAGAATTTTAAGTGGAAAAACGCTTTGCGCTAAAAACTTCAGGACTGATATAACAGCACAAACCCCTGGAGATGTAGAAGATTAGTGGGTCTCTATAGAAACTCCCTCTTTGGAAGTATGTAACCGGAGAGTCTGAATCGCCTCGGGCTGCTAAAATGCAAAAGAGCGGAAGTATGTTTACAGTAAAAAACATTGCAAAAATTTCGAACCAGTATTTTTCGTTGTTCTGGAGCTTCTTATCTTCTGAAATCATAGATGTACACGATTACATAGATTGGTGTTTCTTGGCATATGCTTATTTATGTATGGAAAATGATATTATATAAACACTAGCCCACGGAAGCCCCACAATTCCCGAAAATTACAAAGCTTTTACATGTCAGAATATTAATTTTGTGTGAAAATTTTAGCAAAGCCGGTACCTTCTAAGTTATAGACGGGCCAAGGTTTACCGGACAAACCGATATACCGACAAAAATGAGTGACGTTGTGTTTTCGAGCTGTACATGTGTAACGTGCCAAAATCACGTAGCCTTTTTTATTATTTTGATCACTTACCAATAATTTGAATTTCTCTTTATTAATGGTAAAGTACCGATACCTGGCCAAACCCTTTTTGATGATTTGCTAGTATTATTAACAACTATCTCAGAAGTTTCCTCGTAAGATATCGTTGGACTCTCGTAGAGTTGGTTTTCTAGGGTCCGCTCATTGGCAATCAGCGCCACTCTGTGGTTTCTCTACGTACTTTTTTTTTATCCTCCAACCACCACGAAGGCCTAAGGCCAGAACATCCATGGGGTGCCGTGGGGCTATAGGAGGATAGATGGAAAAGGGGGAACGCCACACGGACTCTGGCGAGGGAACACGTGTGCATGCAACATGCACACATTCTGGCCCCGCCTACGAGATCCGCCGGGTGGTACATCCGCGTTCGACAGTCAGAGACCGTCTACCACCTATGGACAATCAGAACATCCATAGACAAGAGAAAAATTTCTTCTGGGACGGGATTCGAACCCGCACAGCGCACGGCGACCGATCAGGAGACCGAAGAGTCTACTACTGCGGCCACCGCAACTGCCTAAACTGTACATAGAAGAATATTTGGTTTCCTCCAAGATACCTTCTTTTAAAAAGTTACGTGTTTGGCGCCATTTTATGTTTTCCTGAGGACACTGTAATGCGTGGGTCGTTTCGCTTGTAATAACTTCGAGGTTCTGGGATATTAGGCCCCAAACATCAGTTTATGGACGAGCACCTTTTTATTTTATACCTTACGTTTAGTTGTTTTGTTTAGGGTGCTGTTTTTGACCCTTAGATTTCGCTTATCATGTTTTGCCTCTTGTTTATAAAAAAAGCGTGATACATGCCATATAACATCTAAAAATAGATGTGGAAAGTAAAATTAATCTAAAAGTGTGATTGTCAGTTTTTAGAAAAGATAATATGGTAAATCCTTAAGGGGCACTCTTAATAAAATGTATGCATGTCGTGTTTCCTATGTACATACATCTTATTCCGAACGCTTTACAATACTTAGTTACTGTTCCTTCAATAACTCTGAGGTTGAACCTTGAACGGAGGATTTGCAGGCTTCGCAAGTGCAAAACATTTTTTCCAATTTTCTCGGTTCCCAGAGGAAGACACCGGGAAAAGCGGGATCGAACGGTGACGGTCGCTTCGATTAAATCTATCCTGCCCTGGGGATCGGCCGCAAAATTTAAAGCACGCCAGGGCGAAAACACATATCCTATGAATATATCTTTCCGAAAGTGTTTGTCATAACGTCACGTGATGATTCAATCTTCTCGCCGCTCTCATGGAATATACGGTGGAGATTTCTTGATGCGGTGAAGCGAGGGCCGCATATTGTGCGCGGTTTATGTCAGGGAATAAGAGTCTATATCATTTTATTTCGCAGAAAGCTGAGCAATATAGGGTGCTATGTACTGCTGTATGAAGATACATCAAACCGGAAACCCAAAATTGGTTTTTCAATACCGGAGCAGCTTACTAGACAGACGCCTAAATACCAGGGCATCCCGTCACCTATGAGGAACTTGAAGAGACTTTGTTAATCCATTTTTTGGACTGTCCGAGATTAATAGAACTGGGAAAAGCCTTCTCAGATAGATTGCTCAACCATCATGATACGCCAGAGATAACGGAGCGGTCGTACTGTACAGCTTTGGATGTATGAAGTTCGACATGGTTAAGGTGGGAGGTCAAAGTTGGGCGGGTCTGTAACATGTAACGTGTAAGCACTACTCGAGGCTAGGCCTCATCTGGGTCTTGTACAGAGTGAGAAGGTTATATGGAGGAAAGTACCTCTTAACCTTAAACATAGCCTAGCTTTCCCAGGTAGCTGCCGCTATTGATGAGGTGGGATCATGTCCTTGGCGATCTGGACTGAACGTCTTGTTGGTACAACTCGGCTCTCCATCAAAGCCAGATGAGCGCTAGGGCGTTTCTTGTTAGTCGAGGTGCAGGACAGTGTTTTGAAGTACTAATTGTACCTGACTGTTACGTCCTCAAGCAGTGACTACCTCTAGGTCTCCCGTCAGAGAGCAAGTCTCTCAGCAATGACATGGGCCTCATCATAAGATTGGATGGGTTTACCCCTCATTTGCGTAACGTAAGCTGGGAGGTCCGCTGTGGATCGCTGCCAGACTACCTGTGACTAATCAAGCTTTGACGTTCGAGGTACTCCAGCCCTCACTACTATCAAAGAATGTATTCATATATTGTATATGAATGTGTGCAGGGAAGACTGATTTCGCACAAAGGAGAAATTGTTCACCTCACGCGTTGGTCGTGATGTTAGTTTTGTGAAAACCAGACAATTGACACCAATAGTTTTATTTACTTCCTTATTCAACGCATATTGTGAACTACTGTTTACAGAGTGGAAAACTGCAGAAATTCAACCTATATCTGAAAACAAAAGTCCTCAGTCATTCAAGACCTTCTAAGATACTATTGAAAATAAACTATTAACAAACAACTTAGAACATTTTTTCCATTCACATGCGATACTTCCAGTTGAAAGGAGGTATAGTTGTTGTACTACACTATTAAAATGTAACTGACAACATTATTCAGGCAACAGATGACGGAAAAATAACGACCCTGGTACTCCTGGACTATTCTAAAGCCTTTGACACAATCAACCATCAAACATTAATATCGATCCTGCATTCTGCTGGAGTAAGTAATCATGCATCAATGTTATTATCAAATTATCAAAGAGAATGTTGTGCTGAATGGGAATGTCTCGGATGATCTAGCTGTACTTGCTGGTGTTCCCCAGGGATCAATATTGGGTATTTTACTATATATAGTTTACACTTTACAATTTCCAAAAGCCACCAACTACTCAGACTTGCAGTTATATGCGGATGATACTCAGCTTCTCTATTAATCTCGCCCAGATGAAGTAGATGAAGGATGTTGTAGAATATGCGCTGACCTCGAAAGTATCTCCGATATCTCACAACAGTGTTCCTTGTAACTTAACCCTGACATGTCAAATTTTATTATTTTTGGTCCCAAAAAAGTTAAATTATTGAAGATAAAATAAATATTCATATTAATGGTGCTGCAATACATAAGCAAACCGAAGTAAAACATTTAGGAGTATTACTTGATGAAAGCTTGCGTTTCAAGAATCATATAACTAATTATATCAGGAAGACCTTCAGCAACCTAAACATCACATACGGCTACAGAGATATGTTAAATATCAAGACCAAAATTTTATTGACAGATACTCTTGTACTATCCGATTTTAATTACTGTGACATTTTTCACAACAAATATATATACGTATATATATATATATATATATATGAAAATGATGTAAAGAAAATACAAAAAGTTCAAAACTCGTGCTTACGACTCATGCACGGAGTTCTACGTAGAACATGTATTCACATAAGCTGGTGTAAACAAACCAGTTAAAGCGTTTGTTTTTATCATAAGGTTGTGACCATGAAAGCTCCTTCCAATTTATAAAGCAGAATTACCTTTCGTCAAGATGTACTCAAAGTAAATATAAGGTCTAAAACTACAATCACACCACCAGCTCATCGTACTGCTCTCTCTGAAAGATCGTTTTCTTATAATATCTCTAGAACATATAACGCAGTCCCTCAATACTACAAATCCAATTTGCTAGATTCTTGCACAAAATACTATTCCAGGTTTCTGAGATCTCGCTATAGTAATGTACCATGTTAAATATATATCACCTATATGTATATGATTACTTATATCTGCTGTTGTATTTTTTCTTTTTCCCTTCAATCTGAATTTTGTCAGTCTTTCTTTGTTTGTACATGTAGGGTTAAGTGGATGACCAGTTATTCCCCCTAGGAATGAAAGCTGAACTTCGCCTTTTCCGGGTAGCAATGTTATATCATTGTACATTGTTATCAACGAATAAAGATGATTATTATTATTAAATGTGTGCACATAGACCTAAAGTCTAAATTCGCGTGGCTTCCGAGGAGCTATAGGGGAGCTCAGAAATAAGGTCGGACGTCACACAGTGCCTCCAAGCCCTAGGGATAATCACAATATCCATGACACAGAAAAATTCTGTTAGGACGGGATTCAAACCCGCGCAGCTCACAGCGACCTATAGCGTCTACCACTGTGCCACCGCGCTACCCATTTGCGAAAGATCATCAACCCGTAACCGTATCATGTAACTTAAAGAATGATGTTATATAGATGTTTAATGACATTGTGTAGGTTTATCTGGAAAAAAAAGAACTTGGAACTAGCCGTCATTTATCTGTATTCACTTGTGCTGTTGTGTCATGGCGTTAGAAATAGGTAGGTATATGGTTTGGCTCTGATGTGGCGACACATGCGCTTCAGAGAAAGCACTAGCAGGGGCCATCTATAAGGTCCGTGGGTTAAGCTAGAAATTATATACCATTGGTCATGGTGCCAAACCTCTTTAGGTGGTGATCACAGAGAGTGCGCGTGGCGAGACTTGATAGTACACAAGTTGACATTATTCTGATATTTTATCTATATACATATATACAAAGAGAAAATTATCATGCGGAGAAAGGTATATACAAAAATAGGAAAATAATGGACAAAATCCGCAAAAAGTGGATTCGAGCAGAAAATAGGATAGGTAACCCGAGCGATACGTATTTCTGCTGGTTGGCTTCATCGCCTTGAAAATTTGAGGTCTTCTAGCCATTTTATACTACAACGTGTAGTCTCTAAGTTTCCAGAAGGTTCTTATGGAAAGAAAAATCAAGAAAATTCCGCCGAACGTACAGCAGAAGAAATATCTCAAGTACCAAAAGGACAGGCACTCCTCTCCGTCATCTTTATTCCAGTTAGCCTCAAAATTATCAAATTGAGAAGGCTGTTGCCGAGGGATAACAAGAAGAGACAAGTCTTTAGACTTGCAACTTCCGTGAACCATATTTCGAAGCAGAACTTAGAGCCTCTTGGATAGAGACTGAAGAAATGGCTACTCCAACTAGAAGTCAATATCACAGCATACAGGACCCTGGGTTTGATGAAAGCTTAGAGGGGAAAGAAAAAGCAGCCTGGGAAGCCCTTAAAGGTGTGGTACGAGGATTTCTAGGCATCCGAAAATATGACACATGACAAAATTCATTTCCTGCACTCTCATCTTGATCTTTTCTGTGAACACTGTGGGGCTTTAAGTGATAAGCGTGGTGAATGATGCCTCCAAGATATATCTGGAATGGAGCCTCATATCACATATTATTACTTTACTGAAAATTACGTTTTCTGTTGAATACACAGGAGATTCGATTCATCTGTATATCGATGCATACGATTAACTGCTGTATATCATAAAAGCAACAGCTAACTAAGAAAGTTTGATATCTACCCCGATAGCATTAAATATTTATCAAATATTTAAAAAAAATTGTTAAATATTTGTATCGACAGATTTTCTAATATTTAATAAGTATATTTTTTAGGTATATTCGTAAAGCATTCATTATAGATATTTGTAGTATATAATTCATATATTTTTTGGGATATTTTTTCCTAATATTTAGAAAATTTATTTGGAAAGATTTTTAAACATCAGTTTTATATTTTGATGAAATATTCTATCTTATA